CTGGAAGCCTCTTTTAACAAGGGGGCCCCCAGCTCTGCCGCTCCCCCATGTAAATGAGTATGCAGTATATGGTACCCCCCTCCTCCTGAACCATACCAGGCCACATGCGATCAACATGTGGGGATGCTTTGGGGCAGCGGGGGCTCCCCCCATGTTGATGGGGACAAGGGCCTCCTTCCCACAACTATGGTCGGTGGTTGTGGGAGTCTGCAAGTGGTGAGCTTATCGAAATCTGGAAGCCCCCTTAACAAGGGAAAAAATTATCCTGGAAGTCATTTATTAAAAACAGAAATTAAAGAAATGTCCCCCGAAGTAGATCCATTGTCAATCACGATGCCCGCCGTCATCGCTGCCCCCAAAAAAAAAATAATGTCTTCTGGCCATCTGACAACTGTGCCGCGATGACAGTTTTTAAATACAGTGATGGTGTCACAAGGGGGTGGGATCATCACCGCCCCCTTGTGATGTCATCATGTGCTGTGATTGGCCAAATCATCGCACCTGACCTGTCAATGCACTTACCATTTGTGTGTTCGCTGAACACATGGGTGGTGGAGTCCCTAGGTGGGTGCGGGGGGGTGACACCTATCGCACGTGGTGACACCGGACCATCTCCACGAGCTCCACGAAAAGGAAAGTTTTAAAGCAAGCTGACGATCCCCACAAGATGGATCGGATCTGCGGATTGAGCATAATGGATAGGAGTCCGATTCTTTATGATCCCCGATCCGCAGATCCGATCCATCCTGCGGGGATCGTCGGCTTGCAACCTATACGGGGTTAACTGATCTAGGTAAGGCTGTGCAAGATCCGGGACTTGTCTGTAACCAGGAAATGCGGCCGCCATAGCAGGAACCTCCTCCATCTCACATCACTTCTCGAGCACGTGCAGACCGGACCGGAGTTGAAAGATCAGCTAACCCCGTATAGGTTGCAAGCCAACGATCCCCGCAGGATGGATCGGATCTGCGGATTGGGGAGCATAATGGATCGGACTCCATCCTGCGGGGATTGTCGAAGGAGTGACACCAACCCTAGGGATGCCCCTGCATCTAGCCCAACACTAGAGTTGAGCTGTGCAGGAGAAGTAAGTATTTAGCCCCTTCTTTACACAGATGCCCTATACCTAATGGGTTTTAGTTCATGATGGAGTCATGATGGAGTCTCTTTAGAGCCCGGCTATTGGCATTATCATTTTTCCCAGCTCTATAGCCCAGTACAAGTACATCCCAGGTGCACCAAAACAAAAGGTGTTTGAGGTTTTTCTTTTTTTTTTTTTTTTGTACAATTCAGCCGCAGTCCACCTACAAAACAATGTTCCCTGCTAGCATGCTGCAGAGGAGAACTCTCTGTGTGGAAGCAGTAGTCTCTCTGCAGAGGTCTGATGCACCCTCTTGCTGGGTCAGACCTTTAGCTCTCCAATCAGTAGGGAGCAAGTGTTTTCGTAGCTTCCCCAAATAGTAGAGATTCTTCTGTACATCTGTCCAACCACTGCTGTCAGTGCTGCATATTTGATAGACCTGGCAGCACTACTTACCTTCCCCAATTCAGCACTGCATCTGCTCTACAGCACCCAAGTGTCATGGCCATATCCATTTGTAACAGAAGCTCTATCTCCTCCTGTGCTGTCAGTCAATCAGAGAATTGCAGTTACGGCATCTCCCTGTCACTGTTACCAACACGCCCAATCAGAGGGGCTTCCTTCTTCTTCCAGGTTATTTAAGCCCCCGCTACGCTTTTGCGATATTCAACCTGTATGCTCCATTCACCCTAGGTTCACATATGTGCTGGTGGTGCCGCTGCGGATCCGCACGAACATCCGTGCAGCCGCACCCCCCGCACAGAGAATTGCAGACCTACGAGTGGGTGCCATTAGTTCTAATGGCACGCCGCTCGCACTGGAAACTGGGAACCTCGTCTGCGTTTTCCAAAGAAGTGCAGGGACTTCTTCCTTGCGTGTCACGGGGCACGGGAGTCAATTCAAATGAATGAGCTCTCATGCCCACGCAAAATGCGGCCGCATGGCCGCAAATATGTGAACCGGGGGTGATTCCTGTGTACTGACTTATGACTTGTTGTATGACTTGACTGGTTATCTACATCTGCTGCCCTTCCTGAGCTTTAGCGTGTTCCGGGTTATCCATGACCAGGTCTGTCCTCCAAACTGCTCCCAGTGACCTCCAACTCAAGGTCCGTGGCCCTTAGAGCAGGGTGAACCCATAGATCTCAATATGGGGTCAGCATGCAGCACAGTCCAAACCTTCATTGTGGTGAATTCCACCTAGATCTTAGACCCATAAACTCCCTCAAGAGTTGGTTCTGGTCAGCTCAGTGGATTGCTGTAGGAAAGTCCTGGATTCTTTCTTGGATACACAGAATATAACTGGATATAACATTTATAGGTAAAGGTGATCCAGGGAATATCCGATTGCCTCTCGGGGGATCAGGAAGGAATTTTTTCCCTGCAGGAGCAAATTGGATCGTGCTTTGCTGGTTTTTTTTTTCTGCCTTCCTCTGGATCAACTGTGGGTGTAGGATTATAACTTTTTTTTTTTTTAAATGGTTGAACTGGATGGACTTTTGTCTTTTTTTCAGCCAGACTAACTATGTAACTACTATGTAACTCCGTAACTGTTTTGATCAACTCATCTTGTCATAAAGAGGCACTGGGTCAGACAAATCTTTTTAACTTCTTTTCGTGGCAGTTTCAGGACCCTCATGGGGCTTTTAAAACGTGGGGACACAAGTGTCGCTGGTGAATTCTTCATGGGCAGACAGCTCTTAGATTCTGTGCTTTCTTTAAGTCCCACCAGGGGTCTCCTGCGTGTCACTCCAAAATCCAGTTTCATGTGGGGGATTGCTTCCCTGTTGAAAGGTCAACGGAGGTCCAGGTGTGTGACGGACTGCATCACGTTTCCATCTTCCAGGTACTGAAGAGAATTCATGGTACCTTGCACACGCTGAAGCTTCCCTGTACCTGCAGAAGCAAAACAGCCCCAAAGCAGATTGACCCTCCTGCTCACAGTAGGCAAGTCCATATAGGCCTTGTTCTTCCTCCTCCAAACATAGCGTTGATCCATGGGCCCAAACAGTTCTAATTTTGTTTCATCAGTCCAAGAACAAAAAACTCACTTTTGTACTGCAGTCAACCTTATTCTTTGGAGCCAGACGCCTGGGATGTTCTGCAGTGGTTCATTGCAGTGTGCGTCTTATTGTCTGGGCTGCTTCTGTACCCACATCTGACAAATGTTCCTCAGCAGTCACACGGGGAAACTCTACGCTTCAGGTAGCGCACAGCAGTCGAAGTCAGCATCTTCTTTCTGCCACGACCAGGTAGCGTTAAAACAGTAATTTGCGAATGATGCTTCCTAAGGTGTCTCTTGGTATGTTTAACATCTTTGCAATCTTCTTATAGCCTTGCCCTTCTCAAGAGAAATCAACCATGTCTTCCTGCCATTCCTTGCCTTCACCATGAACCACGCTAGAAGGAGCTGAGTATCACATTTTTATGACTTTGGTGCTTACCCTCGGTGACATGTTTTCAATACCTGATGGAAAGCAATAAGGGGGTTGAAGGGCTTTTACTACTGTACAAACAATTGCCCAAGAATGAGGAGCTCTTAGCTTCTGTGTCCCCTGGGGGATCATGTCAACTTCTTTCCTGTGGGGTGATTCTTCTGTCTACTTTTTACAGGAGGTCCTGGTGACCTTCTTATTCTGTCCAGCGTGCTCCATGTGGGGTGATTCTTCAATTTCCTACTCCACAGCGCATTCCAGCTCCCAGATTCTAGTCCTAACCTGTTCTGCGCGTCCAAGAAAAAACTCACTGTGCTCAACCCAGCCAGACTTGATGGCTGCAGTGGTGCAATGGGTGGTGGTGCTCTTGTGTTCAACTTAAAAGTAAAAGCTTCTCATGTTATCTGTTCAGACTGAAAGTAACACATTGATGTTTACTTACAAGTCCTTCTGTGTCCCCTGGGGGATCCCATGTCAACTATCAAGGAGGTCCTGGCCCAGCGCAATTCCTTCCAGCTCCCAGTTCTAACCTGCTGAAAAAAAACTGCTCAACCCAGCCAGACTTGATGGCAGTGGTGCATTTCATGACTTGTACCCCGTGCTTAATATCAACCTGGCCATTCCATGCTGACTGCATACAAGCCCCCGCTGTTTAATAAGGATGACGCCCAAGGCTGGTGTGTTTATTTTCAGATTGACCTGTCCTGTGGTGACCTGCTCTACTGTCAACTGGTTACCGACCATCACTTCCTGGGTAAACCTATCACCTCTCATTGGGAAGCTCTTAGAGTATAGCTAGAGGGTCCTCATGGGGATAGTTTGCCTCCTGAAAAGACCCCCAACACTAGTGTCCCGATTTAGGCTTGGCCAATCACAAAATGGATGATCATTGCAGGCTGAGTGAATGGCCAAGCGTAGACGGGGCCAGAGACGTGTCACCAAAGCTGGTAGCTATCATACATGCAGCACTTAAAGCTGTTTTTTTGGTGGGAACATTTGATTGTAAGGATCTTCGGCTGGGAGGCCACCAGTCTATGTTCTCTAAAGCTTTACAGAATTGGCAGATATTATATTAATGAAAAGAGTCAAGTCTCTGATCTCTTGTACCCTTAAGCTGTGTAAGACGTTTCTCTTTAATTCATTTGTAATGTTATAGTCTCAGGATGTCAACTCTGCCTAGAAAACATATTCAAAGACCGACTTGTGGTTCTACAAGCTTCGGAGGTGCTTACCCTTATGTTTTTGAATGTTATCAATTCATCTTTTTGTATAAAGCCCTTCCCCGCCATGATATACATTCCCTCCCACTTTAACACAATACAATGTCATAGTAACTTCCATTTCCAAGACATCAAACAGGCTTGTAGCTCTCAGCAACCCGTCTCTACATCCATCAGTCTCTCTCTTTTTAAAGAATTTGTGTTAGTGGCTTTCAGTTGTCTCGGGGGGGAAAATTGTTATTTGAATATCTTCCAGCTACTTACTGCATCTTGTTCGACACTTTTGCTGGGACTTTCAAAGCCTTCTTCAAAGATGTCGTCCGGGTTGGGATCGCTGGTGTGAGACACTGAAGACTTTGATGGCGAGCTCTGCCTCGGAGCTGGTGTGGGCGCTGGCAAGAGATGACATTGGAAGTGTTGAAAGACACAGCGATGTACCAGAGACATGAAAATAAGCAGCAGCTAAAGGAAGGACTTGAGCTGAAAGTGTATGTAAACCCAAGAACATTGTTCCTGTACTTAGCCCTAAAGTGATATTAAACTCTCAATTATTTGGAGTGTTTTCAGCAGCTGATTTCATCCCTTACTGTGGGTGCAGCTTTGTTATCTTTTAATCCTTGCCTATATTCCAGTTTAAGCTGCTGCCATGACCTGTGCCCCAGGTTTCCTGCTTCAGAGTGGCTCCTTTCTCTTGCAGCATCCAATGGAGCCATCTTTGTATACATTGACTAGAGTCCCCTGCTCCTCCCACTTCTTCCTCCTCTCTTTCTACTCATCCCTCCTCCTCCCTTCCTGCTCCTTCCTCTTCCTCCTACCCCCTTCCTGCTCCTTCCCCCCTCCCCCTTCCTGCTCCTCCTCCTCCCATTCTGCTTCTTCCTCTTCCTCCTCCCCCCTTCCTGCTCCTTCCTCCTCCTCCTCCTCCCTTCCTGCTCCTTCGTGCTCCTCTTTCTTTTTCCCTTCTACCCTTCCTGCTCCCTCCCTCTTCCTCCCCCCTTCCTGCTCCTCCCACTTCCTCCTCCACCTTTATGCTCCTCCCTATTCCTTTTCCTCCCTTCCTGCTCTTTCCTCCTCCCCCCCTTCATATTCCTCTCTCCTCCTCTTTCCCCCTTCCTGCTCCTGCCTCCTTCTTTCTCCTTCCTACTCCTCTTTCTTTGTCCCTTACTGCTCCTCCCTCTTCCTCCCCCCTTCCTGATCCTCCCTCCTCTTTCCCCCTCCCTGCTCCTCCCTCCTCTTTCTCCCCCCTTCTTGCTCCTTCCTCCTTCCTACTCCTTACTCCTCCCTGATAATCCTTCCTCCCCTTCCTGCCTTCCTGCTTCTCCTTCCTCCTCCCTGCTCCTATCTCCTCTTCCTCCCTCCTCCTGCTCCTTCTACTCCTCCTCCCTGATAATCCTTCCTCCCCTTCCCCTCCTTGCTCCTCCCACCTCCTCTCTCTCCCCTTCCTGTTCTGCCCTGCTTCCAGCTCCTCCGATCTCCTGCTCCTCCCTCTCTTCCTCACTCCTTCCCGCTCCTCTCTTCCTCCCCCCCCTTCCCTGCTCCTCCCTCCCATGCATTTCTATGCAGACCGCCTTAAATAACGCCCACGTGTGATGCTGAGCCTCTAGGATTAAAAGAACTGAAATCCAATGAACTCATATGGAAGAAAAAAATATTTGAAATATATTTTAAAAATATTCTTCCCAAATATATTGACATATATTTGAATTATGTTAAAATGACTTTTTTATATGTTAAAAAAAATCTGAAGAATATATTTAAAAAATATATATTTTAAAAAATATTTTTCATATATTTTGTAATATATAAAAAACTAATTTCAACATACAGTGTATGTATATATATATATTTTTTTTTTTTTTTCGTTAATATATTGAATATATACATATTTATTTTTTATTGAAATATATTTTGAAATAGATTGAATATGGCCAAGATTGTAGTATTTCAAATATATATCAATATATTTGGGAAGAATATTTTTTAAAATATATTTCAAATATATTTTTAAAATATATTTCAAATATATTTTTCTTCCATATGGGAATGAAAGGGGCGGGCCAAGGACAGTAAAGCTGTTACGGAAAGATCTAGATGATGCTGGGCATCCTCCAGCCAGGAAACAAGGCGGAGCTCTATCTGACTTGCTGCAGCTTCTAATGCAGCAAGCTCACAGTGTGCGTTAGAAGTTAACAGGACAAATATTAAAAGGTGAATCTCCTCCCAGCAATAAATAACTGACTAATATTCCCTCCCTGCATTATTCACAACTAGACAATCACTACATTGTGAAAGCCTATGGAAGAAACAAGCCATTTAAAGCCTGCGTTACGATGTCTCCGACAATGACTTTGAGCCGGAGTTCCATGTTTGGAGGGCACGGCGAGGTGGAGCCGAAGAACAAAAAAAAATCATTTGTTAGTGAATAGATAAAAGGACACAGACTGTTATGAAATCCATATTTCATTTTCTATTACAGATCTCTCTGCCAGAAGTTTAAAAACCGACTCCATCAAATTCCTCTTGGAGTCACTGGCTTGTAACTAATAATTTTCCCGGGCCGCCTGTTTGCTGTGTCTAAACGTGTTGAGGAACATTTTTCATAGGGGGGAACAAACACATTCGTTATGCCGCCATGTTTCGCGACGGAAGAAATATTTTGGAATAAAGCGGTGGACCCCTACCGAAGAAACATTCCAATGTGGTCTTTTATTGGGCGCAATATGCAGCACTTTGCAAAAGTTTTAGGCAGGTGTGAAAACATGCTGTAAATGAAGAAAGCTTTCAGAAATAGACATGTTAAATAGTTTTTTTTTATCCATTAGCAAAATGGAAAATAAATGAACAGAAGATAAATCCAATCTATATTTGGTGTGACCACCCTTTGCCTTCTTCTAGATAGACTTGCACCCAGCAGGGGGGGACTGACCATTCAAGCACTCGGGGTCAGTAGGGGGCCCCATGAAATGCCCCTGGTACCTTCTATAGGCTTTTTTGGGTGTGCTTTAAGTGTGGGCAAGGACACAGGGGCCCCATGATTCTCTATTGCCCGGGGGCCCCATGAGTTGTCAGTCCGCCCCTGGCACCCAGTGAAGGAACTCTTCAGATAGGTTGTTCCAAACATCTTGGAGAACTAAGCACAGATTTTCTGTGGATGTCGGCCACCTCAGATCCTTCTGTCTCTTCATGTAATCCCAGACAGACTCCATGATGGTGAGATCAGGGCTCTGTGGGGGCCAAACCATCGCTTCCAGGACTCCTTGTTCTTCTTTACACTGAAGATAGTTCCTAATGACATTGTCTGTATGTTTAGGGTCATTGTCCTGCTGCAGAATACATGTGGGGCCAATCACACGCCTCCCTAATGGTATGGCATGATGGATAAGTATCTGCACCAGGGGCGGACTGACCATTTGAGCACTCAGGCACTGCCTGAGGGCCCGGGATCAGTAGGGGGCCCCATGAAATGCCCCTGTAACCTTTTATAGGCGTTTTTTGGGTGTGCTTTGAGTGTGGGCAAGGACATAGGGGCTCCATGATCCCCTATTGCCTGGGGGCCCCATGAGTTGTTAGTCCGCCCTGATCTGGACCTTTCAGCATTGAGGACGCCATTCGTCCTGACCAAATCTCCAACTCCACTTGCAGAAATGAAGCCCCGAACGTGCAAGAAACCTGCAAGATATGTTTTTTGGCCACAATTCTTATGACCGGACGTCTCCGGACAGTGGATGGGTGTACCTGGGTCCCACTGGTTAAACCAGTACTGTGCTGATGGCACTGCTGGACATCTTCCGATGTGGAAGGGTAGTAAGCATTGTAGCAAACTAGCTCATCATAGTTGGACGCAGAGCTCCCCTTTTCCTTTTCTTTTAGTGGAAGTATTCCTCAGCCCTCATTCCCTACCCCCCTCCCTTCCTGAGAGGCAAACTTTATCTCCTGACAGATGGTGTGGGTCAACCAGGTTAAGACATCCTGAGTCCGGGTGCCAGGCAGTCTGCTGAAGTGTAACCTTTGTCACCCAAAACTGTGTAGGCCCACACATCATAAAACTGACCAGCAATTAATTGAACATTCTTCAGGTCAACTGTATGTTTCATATCATGGAGTATGAAGCTGTTAGTTTTAACTCAGAGTCCCACTGTCTCCTCCCAAAACAGTAGTCAGAGCAACCCCCCCCTTTCAGAGGGATTTTTAAAAAAGGGACAGGCTAGCAAGCCTGGAAGTTGAACACACAAATCTCCTGAGTGTAACATCGTAACAGAGGAGATCAAAGACCCTTCCTGCCCTGCACTTGGATCTTCTTACAAACCAAGGCATATTGGCAAGTAACTGAACTCTTTAATTTCCTTCCTATGATCTCTTTGCTGTACCTTTATATGCATATATATATATATATATATATATAGTTACATTTTCTTTGTAAATATTTTATTGCACCTGTTTGACCCTTTTAGTAATAAATCTTTCTTTCTGAAAGTGTTAAACTGTTTCTAAGCGCTTACTTGAAATTCACGAATTCCTGCCTTTGAAGAGACGCTACTGTGTTTGTTTAATCCTCTGCCCAATCGGCCTGCGGTGACCGTATTGGACAGGTAACTTTTCAATCATTACAGTGTATATTTGATAACGGGAGTTTCCCAGTCTCCGACAAAAGTGGGGTGGGTGGCAGTAGAGGGTTAGTTGCGTAATTAACCCGACCCAGTAACAAGCGCATTCAGGCTGCAGGCACCGATTGTAGCCCATTAGCTGGACAATCGCTGTGCAGGGTGCAGCTGGGTGTGGCCTTGTTATGCGCGTCACACTGCGATTTTAAGTCGGCCGGTCCTTTGGTCACGAGTTTGGTGAGAAGGTCTGGGGTCTGACGCCGTGGGCGTGACGTATTACTGTTAGTCGCGGTCGTGCGATTGTCGCATGTTGGTGGCGGCGACCGTGCGATCCGTGACATATTGGCTGGCAGCGTACGTGGGATAATTGCATTAAGAGGTGCAGTGCTAAAAATTGGCTCTGCACTGAAGGATTGTAACCTTTGTGGAAACAGTCCTTAGAAACCAGAGGTGCATATTTTATTTTATATAAATATATAGAGACAACAGCTCCTTCCTTTTCCTACTTTTCTCTTCTATCTTTGCTTGCAATTATGCCTGGTGTAGCAGATTACGAGAAAATGAGCAAAGGTGATTTGAAAGCTGAATGTGCCTCACGGGGATTGGACGTCGGTCGCAAAACTCGTGAAGATTTGATTAGTGATCTAGTGGAGTATGATATCCGAGCAAATCAGAACTCGGGGGAACTTGAACATGGAGGGGTTCCCGTTACCCACATTGCCAGTGGCTCAGAGACGAGCTCACAGGATGGGCAAACAGAGACTGACACTGGAAGATCACCAAATGTTAGCGAA